CCACGGGCGGTGGGGAGAGCCCTCAGCCACCGGCTGGCGTGGGTGGGGTAGGTGGGAAGCAGAGAGGAGGAGCTGCCCCTCACCTCAAAGGTCTGGGTGGGAGAGTGACACTTGGGCTGTGGGAGTCCAGGGCGAAGAGTAGGTGGAGGGCTTGGGACACAGAGAAGTCCCTGAAAAGAAGGGAGGGTCTGAGCGTGGAGACCATGAGCGTAGCTTTGGTTGTGGCTGGCACAGCCTCTGGGCCGGAGTGCGGAGACTGTTCTGGGAGGAGAAGGGAAGCGGCCGCTCCCACATGCCCTGTGAGTCTCATGTTGACCTGCATTTTTAAAGCAGCGGGCAGTAGCCTAGCAGCCCTGAAGGGGAGGGTCTAAGTCTGTCTTATCTGGCTAGAGGAGTGCCCAGCCTCATTCTTCTCAGAGCCAGCCTGCGGCTGAGCTGTGTGCACCTGCAGAGAAGGCTTGGCAAGGTGGACCTCTCTGGGCAGTAAGTGACGAGCTCTCAGCTTCAGCCAGCCCCCTGTGCCTGCTGCGTTTTCGAGGCTGGAGACGTCAGTAGAAAATGCAGTGAGTCATTTTCTAAGTTTGCATCTCCCACCTCACCTGGCCCAGGCAGGAGTGGGTGGAGGGGCCCTGATGGGCTGGCTCTGCCAGCAAACCCAGCGTGGGACGGGGCTGCTGAGAGTCAGAAATCAGCCCGGGGCCGGAGGCCTTATTGCTGCAGTTTCCCCTAAAGCTTTTCAGAGCCTGGCCACGTGAAGGCAGAACTGCAGACTTCTCGCGCCCCCCAGCCGCAGCCTGCGCTGCACAGAGCCCCGCCTGTGCAGAGGGGAGTTCAGGGGGGTGACGGGAGGCCTCGGTTGGCTTTTTCTCTAGCCAGCAACGCTTTGCTGCTTTTTGCCTCCCCGAGCGTAAAGCCTGGCCCAACGCCTCCCTCCCTCTGCAGGAGAGGCAGGAGCAGGGCCCTTCTCAGATCTGAACGAGACCTGTTTGTAAGCAGCCTGCTTGCGCAGGTAGCGCCCGGTGCCTGTCCACGAGAGAAGGGTGGGCCCGTGGGTTTCAGGTGTCTCTGGAAGTAGTGTTTCTTGCCCTGCCTCCCACAGAGTGCTTCCAGGGTCGAGACCATCTGTGGTCCTCCTTGTTCTGCCTGGCACGCCTCCTGCTGCTCCCACGCCCGCTGCTCCCTCGCGGGGGGTTCGCCTTTGCAAGCAGTCGGGCGTGCCCTGGTCTCCAACCTTCCTTTGGCCCGTTTGCCTCTCCCTGCCCCCTCCTCCCCCTCTCTGCTGCAGGCGTCTGGGGATTGCAGCTTGAGTCCTGCCTGTGCCGTTTGTTCAGGGTCTCCATTGGCTCCCTCACGTCACCGTGTGTGTCTGCCTTCCGCACGCCGTTCCCATGACTTCATCAGCTCTGGGGGCGTCAATTACTGCCGCTGCCCTGACAGCTCTCAGATCAGCCTCAGTTCAGCCTGGCATCACATGTCTCTCTTGATATCCGGCTGCAGCTCTTCTCCGCTCCCATTGTCCTTCTCCACCGCTCAGCACTCCCCTGCTGCCCTGCTCTCCTCTCCCTGCTCAGCCCCAACCCCCCCCTTTCTGGCTTGCCAGCCCCCCCGGGGATCTCTCCGCCCTGGTCATTTGTGCCTCTGTGCTCTGGCCAGCTCCCACTCCATCTACAGCCACTGCTTCCACCTCGGCTCACATGGCTCACATGGCCTCCCTTCTTCCTGTTCTGCACAGCTCTGCCCGGGCTTGGGCCTGGGCCCTGCTCCCATTCTCTTGCCTGCCTGCCTGTCTGCCCCTTTGTGCCCTCCCTCAGGCTCAGCAGTGGGAACGGGGTCTCCTCTCTCCTCTCTCGGCTACCCTCTGTACCTCTCTGCACTGCTCCCTGGAGCATTCGCCTGGGCACCCCGGCCGCGCTCTGCCACCTCTGCGGCGGCTCCTTCACGGCCTGTTCTCAGGCGCTCCATGTGCTGTCCTGCAGGCCGGGCTCTGGCAGTGGCTGGGGCGATGGCTGCTGATTGCACAGAAAGCTCTTTCCCCCTCTCTGACAAGGCACAAGAGGCAGGCCCCTAGGCTGCGAGTGCTGCGGCAGGCTGCTGTCCCGGGACGTGCCTGGACACACCCCATGCACTGGGCCCGTTGGAGGTGCTGGCGTACAAATAAGGGAGCTCTGCTTTGAGTGGGTGCTGCAGCTACGGCAGACTGGGCTGGAGGGGCGCAGGGGCTGGTGGGATGCGCTCGGGAGCAGTGCTCGAACTACAGGGAGCCCGGGCTGGCCCAGCAGTCTAGGGGCTACGCTTGTTTGGCTGCCCCCATTGCCAGGGAGGTGCTCAGCCACACAGCTGTCCTCCACTCGCCCTGCATGGTGTCTCCTCCCCGGAGCGGGCGCTGCCGGAGTCAGGCTGAGGGCTCAGGCTGGCCTCGGCTTCGTGGCTGCTGCAGGAGAAGGGGGGAGACCCTGGAGTGGCCACTGCAGTGCCTGGATTGGGCCAGGGAGAAAGGGGGAACTGGAGTGCGCTCAGAGCAGCGTTCCCCATGGGGAGAGTCAGGACCCCTCCTGCCAGCCTGGACCTAGGTGGTCCTATTGCTCCCCGTGCAGGGCTCCTGTCTTCTGGCCCTGACCCCCTCCCCGACGTCCCCCAGCTCCCTGTCCAGGGTACCCGCCTTCCGGCCCTGAGCCCCTGAACTCCCAGCTCCCCGTGTATGGCACCCGCCTGTCAGCCCTGACCCTCCCTCCCACCGACGTTTCCCCAGCTCCTTGTTCAGGACACCCACCTTCCAACCCTGTTCTCCTCCCCCCCGCCCCCCCGCCTACTCCCCAC